AACATAATTCCTCTGAACAAAATATCAGAGATCACAAAAGTTAGAGTCAACCATGAGCTTAAACTTCTATACAAGACTACTAGTTTTAGATCCGCCCCAAATTCAGCAGCCAAAAAAATACTAAAATATGTTAAATCCTCAGTGTAAATATAATAAGTTGTAAATAAAATAAAGTACGCTTAAATGCGGTTTTTTTTTAAAAAAAAAATAAATTTAATTTTCTTTTTTAATACTCTTCTCTGCAGATTCTCGTACCAAAACTGAGCTAAAAAAAAAGCACAAAATAGCGAGCCAGAAGTACTAGAAAACAAGCTTTTAAACTTAAAGAAAAAAGAAGCAACATCAAAAGTTGCACTAGATTTAATAGATCAAACCTTTAGCTAAATGCTTAAAAGGAAAACCAGTTATTTTTTCATTACTTTTGTCAAAAAACTTTCGAAAATATCACATTTTTTGGGAAATTGGCTTTGACCCTGTTTTGCAAATCAATTGCAACAACAAACAACATGTGACATGCCCATTCTCAAGTAAACAAAAATAATATGTGGAATAACAAGAATACACGTATTAGAAAAGAAATAAACAGTAAAGTAGTGTAAATTACACAAAAATAAGCCACTCATGTGCAGAAACCAAACCATAAATTTAGACTCAGAGTAAAATAGAGTGAATTAAAAAATTTCAAAGGCTTTTTTACAAACCAGAAAGTGAAATTGTCAAATTCTTTTCAACTCATTGCAGTATGGTTTTTGAAAGAGATAAACAAGTAGCAGAATTTCTCAGTATTTCACATCCCAGAATAGTGTATATAATCAGATTAGCTTTCGAGATCTTTGAATAGATTAGTTTTAACCAAAATAGAGTTAAAACAAAAAAGAGTATATGGGAGGAATTGTGTATAGAAAAAGAAAACTAGAGTAATACTATTACACAATTAAGCCAAAAAATTGCAGTAAACCTTCAAGAAGCTAGCATAACAGATTATAGTATAGAAAAAATAACAGCAAGAGTAGCCAATGTGTTAGAAGCATCACTTGAGGCAATAAAAGAGCCGTTAGAAAAAAATATAGTAGGGAGAGTAAGTGAAAAGTCTTCAAAAAAGATCGTGAAGTCAAATCAAGAAAAGATATTAGTAGAAGTAAAGAAAGAGCCCGCAAAAGAGAATATGATAAAAGTAGTAAATACAAACTCCTTAAAGAAGGTCGAGATGTCAAGCCTAATAGAAAAGTCAAGAAAAGAGGCTGGGAAAAAGAGGAGCAAGAAGGCTCTGAAAAAAATCTTCACTTGTTAGCAGGAGATTTGGAAAACCTATATAGGGAAGTTACAGAAAGTAGCAGAAATATAGATCAAGCTATTATATTGTGGGACATGCCAAAAATAGCAATGAATAAAGAAGTTGCTACCTTGATAAAGAGTTTCAGAAGCTGCAAAATTCTAAGTTGGCAAATGAAAAGCAAAAGTAAAATAGCAATTGTGCAAGTGAACTTTTATAGTAAAGAGAAAATAACTATACTTAAGAATATGTGGATATTTCTGCTTAATAAGGGAAAAATAACAAGAATTAGTTTTGGCAACATTGATATAGAAGTAGTAAAAGAAAGAGCACAATATAAAACAGTATTAAGAAATTTGCTGCAATATGCACAAGAGGCACTTCTGCTAAGACAACTCAAAAAACAAAAAGTAGCAGCAGTACATATTCCAACAAATAGCAATAGTAACCCAAGAACCTTAGCAATTGTATATTTTAAATCTCTAAAAGACAAAGAAAAAGCCTTGAGATGCAAAGTGAAGTACAATAATACCACTTTGACATGGGCTGAGCAAGTAGAGCAAACATGAAAAGAGTCAAGAGCAAGAAGAACACAAAGTCCATCGAAAGATAGTCATTCAACAAGAAGAAAACAAAAAAGGTCTAGTAGCAAGAACTCTGATTTCACATATTTAGCAAGTGATTATAGACAAGATAAGGAGGAGAGACGAGAAGAGAGAAATCTCAAAAACAGGGTTAGAGACAGAAAAGAAGAAGCTTCTAAAAGTAGTAAAGTAAAAAATATTTTAATCAAGATTTTGAGTAGACTTAATAAGCTAGAGAGACAAGACACACAAGATGCTACACTCTACTGCTTCTAAAATTGGCCAAAGGCTTTATATCGGAAAACACCAGAGTAAAGACTCTAGATTCAAGAAGGAAAATCATCTGAGTAATACAAGAAAAAGAGGTGGTAGATCTGAAAGTCGCTTGTTATAATATAAATGGATTAAGAAATAGTAATAGCTATAAGTTAGAAAGACTGTTAGATTGGGCTAAGAGAAGAGTATTGAAATCATATATGTGGCAGAAACAAATATAAGAAGCAAAGAAGGCCATTATATGATGAAAGATAATAGAGACTTTGTTGGTTTTTGGGCTAGTATAGCAGAAGACAAAAAGAAAGATTCTAAGGTAAGCTTAATAATAAGAAGTAATTGGAGAGACATGTTGGTACTATCAGAAGAATAAATGAATATTTAATTAAAGCAAGGCTATACTTTAAGCAATTAAAGCTTATAGTAATAATGCTATATTTACTACCAAATGACAAAACAAGCTCATAAAATTCAACAGCATATAATACATTGTTTTATTAAACAAGGACCAACAACACAGTTCATAATAATAGAAATTTCAATCATGTAATAGATCCCAGATTAGACAAATCAAACCAAGAAGAGCCAAGAAATAAAAGAATATTTCCTTTGTTCTGATAGTTTGTAATACAAAGCTTCTGTGATACATACTAGGCTGTTAACCCAAGTACAAAAGTATACACTTGGAGCTAGTGTTGTCATAGGACACAGATATGGATAGCAGACAGTCCGGGACGGGACGTCCATGAACATGTCCGCAGAAAATTTTTTTGTCCCAGACAATTAAATTGTAATAAGAGTGGCCTTGTTAGCCAATTAGATCGTTTGATAAACCTGTAATATGGAACACCATCACGGACATGAGATATTGTCCAGGACATAGGACGTTGTCCCGGACTGTCTGTGTCCCTGTAATTTTAGCCGGACAACGTCTGTGTACAACACTGCTTGGGGCAATACCGAGGTTCAAATGAGAATTGATTATATCTGGTTATCAACTGATCTTTTGGAAACACTAGTACAAGCAAAAATTGTAGATCTAAACACATATATATGTAGTGATCACAGTGTAGCCCTAACAAAGTTGAGGTACAAATTGGCAATTCAAAACAACAGTAGAGCTCAAATTAAAAGAAAAGAGTATTTGTGAACAATTTATTTAGACAAGGAAGCAACAAAAAACAACTGGAAAGATTATTCTAGAGATCTACAGTATTATTTTGAGAAAAATCTAAGCTGTAAACAATTAAATAGTAGTACAGTAGACACAATGACTACAGAATTTGATGTGGATACTGTCTGGGAGAAGATAGCTGCAAGAATAATACATGTAGCTAACAAGAATATTTCTAGAAAGAAGGTTTCTAAAATAATCAATGCAAAAAGAGGAAGTATGTTAAAGAAATCTTTGATTTACAAGAATACAATCAAGATTAGCAACCTGGTGAGGAGCCTAAAGAAAAAAATTGGCTATAAAGTTGATAAACAACAGAGACAAGATTAACATGTTAATTAAAGAAATCAATCTTAAATATGGAACTAAGATCGCTCCAACAACATTGTATATAGATGGAACTTGGCATGAAGATCTAATAGAGTGGTGAAAACTACTAAGAGCAAGATAGATACAAGAAAGAGAAAAGGCCAAGAAAGAAACAATCAAAGAGCATATCAACAAATATTGTAAAAAAATATCAAGAGAACAAGGAAAAATATTAGCAAGTTTGCTAGAAAGGCCTTTTAAGAAAATACAAATAGACCGAGTTCTAAAAGAAAAAGACAGTAGCTTTACACTCATTAATGACTCAGACAGTATCAAGAAGGCAACAGAAAAACATTTTCAAAACCAGTTTAGAAAACGCCAAGTACAATCTGACATGATAACAAACAATTGGGAGGAAGTTTACAAGCCAATTAGCAGAATCAATGAAAAATGGTTTAAGTACTTAAATAATCTAATCAAAGAAGAAGAATAGCAAGAGATGCTTACAGAATTAAAAACAAAAACAGCCCCAGGTATATCAGAAATAAGCTACACACTAATCAAAAAAGCTGCCAAAAGTATTTTTAGAAAATTTGCAAAAAAGTGCATATGTAAAGGAGTAATTCCAATTAAGTAGAAGCTTGCGCAAATCTACTCAATTCCAAAAGGCCTGAATTGGAACTTCTAGCTAGACAACATAAGACCAATTGCACTTTTAAAAAACTTTAGAAAGTGTGTAACAAAAATATTTAACAAGCATCTAATAAAGATCTTGGCAGAGCATAGTATTTTAAAAGGGCCAAATTATGCAGAGCTCCCAGGCTGCTTAACTAAAGAACTAGTACAGATCATTAATGCAGTTATGGAGAATGCAAAGAAAAAAAAAAAGAGTTGTGGGTAGTATTCCAAGATATGCAAAAAACATATAACTCTGTATTAGTAGAGATGTTAATGCTAGCTCTCAAAAGAATCAAGCTTCCCACGACAAGTATCAAATTAATATATAGCCTTTTCAGCAAAAGACAAATAAAAATAATAGTACAAAATGGCTATACATCACCATTCATGGCAGGTGATGATATCGATCAGAGAGGGAAGTAATTTCTCCAATTATTTGGCAAATTTTTTATGATTTGCTTCTATGTTGAATTCAGAATAATAAGTCTTTTGGTTATAAAGTTGAAACATATATCCCAGAAGACATAACAACAGGAACTAAGACAAGAGTCTGTATAAGGCAAGCAGCAATAGCCTATGCAGACAATACAATATAGTTAGCTAATAGCAAAGTAGAAATGGAAAAACTGCTTAAAGTCACAAATAAGTTCTATATGATTAACGATATACAGATAAATAGCAAAAAATATAATTTGGTAGTAATGAACTATAAGGTCAAAAACCAAGAGGCTAAGATAGTGCAATTCAATCAAGATGAAATTAGGGTCACAAAAGATAATGCCACA